AAAAAAATATTCTCAAAATTTCAAAGTAAACGCGTTTTCAAGTTTTCTATTTTGAGAAACAGTTTTTCAAAATGACAAAGAGAACGCATTTTCAACAATTCCAAAACAGACACTCAAAACAGAAAATACAAAATGAATTCAAAACTCAAAACACAAAACTGAAACACGAAGAGAATGACCCCTAAGATATTCTCTCTTTTTTATCCGAGTTATTGTGAAATGATGAACCTAAAAAGAAGGCATCAACAAAAACAAATTTTAGTACCGACAATTCATGACTTCAATATTAATCTATTACGTATATTCTAAATTAGCTATAATTATAAAAGAGAAGCTTGAGACAAATTTTGCACCAAATTAGTTGGAGGTGGAGACATAAAATAGAGAAACACAAAGCCCCCACTTTCAATAGTCAAGAAACATTATTAAAGTGAGATTCATCAAATCCAGACAAACTATTCATGTGCCAAAAACTCTTCACCCGAAAGCAACGCCTGTCAATTTCAAAAATCAATAATCACTTATAATTCGTCTCATAGAGTGTCTGCAAAAATGGTGAATTACTTGTTTGTTTTGACTTATGAGTTACTTTTCTGGAAAAAGAAATGTCCTTGTTGAATCAGCGGCAAACAGTTGTCAATGGCAGTCAATCCCATTTTGGCCCTTCTCTCAGTACACAAATCTTGTGTTAATTAATTAATTTGAATAAACTTTTAAGTGAAAATTCAAAATGGCGTCGGCGTGGGAGCATTTCGGGGAGGTTGCAAATATTGTACAGTTGACTGGGCTAAATGCAGCAGCCCTAGTGTCATTGATTGTGAAGGCAGCAAACAGAGCACGGATGCACAAGCAGAATTGCCAGCAATTTGCGCTGCATGTGAAAATGATTGGAAATTTGCTGGAGCAGCTTAAGATTTCTGAGCTGAAAAAACACCCAGAAACAAGGGAGCCACTGGAGATGCTCGAGGATGCACTGAGGAGAGCTTATGTGCTTGTCAATAGTTGTCAAGAAAGAAGCTATTTGTATCTGATTGCAATGGGTTGGAATATCGTGTATCAATTCAGGAGATCCCAAGAAGAGATTGATCGGTATTTGAGGATAATTCCCCTCATTGCACTCCTTGATAATGCCAGGGTTAAGGTATTTATATTGATCTATATTTCATTTTAACATTTTTTGTATAAGTAGTTTGTGTAGTCGATCCCAAATTTATTGCAAACAAGACTGTCTTTTGTTGTTGTAGTGCTATTGTATCCATTAGAATAGTTTTGGTCTCTGGTGATTTGTTGATTAGTTTGTTGGGTATTGAGTGATGGATATTCCCGGTTGTTTTGTCAACCTTAAAGTAGAAATATAAAACAAGTGAATTGGAACGTTAACATTAAGATCCATGACCTCTACATCAAGGTGATATGCAAACCTCAAGTATATTCAGTTGGACCCTTAAAACTTTAGCCTTTACGCCTTTCAGTTAAGGGTATTTTCTGAAGGTTCCTTCCCGTTTAAATATTTGAAACCCGAGATGTGGTTGAACATTGGAGTGATTTGGTATTGGATTTAGATTATTCAATTTGGATGCATCTGGGTGCACAAACCAAAAAATTTAGTGTTATGAATGTTACTCTTGTTTATGATGTATACATTACATGGCTGAACTAAAAACCTAACCGAACATTACATGTTTGTTTTGTATGCAGTATTTGACAGGACTGGGCAATATAATAAATGCCATTTTGTAGTCACCGATGCTTCAATAGTGTGTCTCAGTTTTCTTTTTCATTTTGGAAATTTCTTTTGTTGATAGTGAGCAGCCCATTAAGTTAGGTGCTTTTGGGTGGGCTTAAAACAACCACAAACTGAGGTTAAGAGAAAAATAAATCTCATTCATCCAACTAGGGCTTTCTTTAATATGCTACTCAGAATTTGATGTGTATGAAAACCTTTTCGATTGACTGATATCTTGTGAATCTTACTCTCTGAGGAACCGGATGAGCAAATGAAACTATTGTTTGTGTAAGAAGTAATAGGCTCTTTATTGCTTCTCACCATGTACTTCTCCATTTGATTTGAACATTAAGGATAACATTATATAATTTCTTGGTGGATGTCTATTTATGTTGTTGCTATATTAGTGAAACAAGATGCCTTGCTTTATTGTTGTGATTTTTTTGACTAATTACAGGAAAGGCTTGAAGAAATTCAGAAAGATCAACGTGAATACACATATGATGAAGACGACAGAAAAGTGCAAAGTGCTATTTTGAACCCACAACCTTCTGAAGATGACACAATAATATTGAAGAAAAGTCTGTCTTGTTCTTATCCAAAATTGCCTTTTGATACGGCACTTCGCAAAGAAAATGAAAAGCTCAAGGTAGAGCTACAACGATCACAAGCTCATTTGGATGTGGCTCAATGCGAAGTCATTCAACGGTTGATTGAAGTTACAGAAAATGCAGCCGATCCCCTATCAGAGAATGCTTCACCAGTTAAAAGTTCCCAGAAATTGGAGTCGGGTAAGGCGAAGAAACCTTTTGAGAAGAACCCTGAAAAGGTTCATCATCGAACTAGCTCAAGGTCCGTCTCTATCTTGTTCATCTTAATTTAATGTCTTGATTCATTAGATTCTGTTGAAGATTAACTTTATTAAATAAATTTGTTCCCTCCCTAAGAGTTGAAGCTTTTTAATGAGGTGATTCAACTTTGAAGATCAAGTCTCACTGCCACTCATTTATAAAAATTGATCCCCCTATACATGAGGGTTGGGGGTGGTTGAACACTACATGTAAATAAATAAAAATATGTCACATCTTCGAGTGAGGTGGTTTGATTCTTTTTCGTTCAGTTAAACTGCTTTTTTCATCTTAGCATTTTTTATTCTGACTTCTAGACTTCAGATTTTATGTTGCTAGTATGAAAGTTTCTTCAAAGTCTATATTTAAGTTCACAGGAGGGCCACAATTTCCTCGGGACATAAACAGGCATCAACCGTGGAATCAAATTTGCAAGAGGAATGGCATGCAGATCTACTCGGCTGTTTCGCTGAACCTTACTTGTGTACATTCTCTTTGCTAACAGATTTGCTTGTTTAGTTCTATTGATGTCATTTTGTTGTGAGATTAAAGTGTAGCAACACCAAAATGGAGAGGAATATAGAATTTGTATAACTATTATGCCTTAAAATTACAAAGAAAAACCTTATTAATATGGTTATCAATAACTATAAAAGGAAAAAACTATACTGATTACAGCATGCACTATTATAAAAGTAATCATGTATAGTTGACTAAACTCCTGCATAAGGCAAAAAATAAAAATCCTAGATTTCTAGAATCTGAAAATATACTACATAAGCTGTAATGAAATGGGAAGATAGTAGCAGGGAGATGGAAGAAAAGAGAAGAATTAAACAGACGGAAGCACAGTATAAGAGAGAAAATATCTTTATTTCATTATCAAAGTTGTATGAATTACGTTCCTGTATATAGGGTTTATACTAGTTTTAATTGAAGCAAGAAAATAATATAATTTTTTTGAAATCGAACACTAAATAAGCATCAAAATTGAAAACTAAATTAAGCCAGCCCTTGTTTCGCCCTCATTATCTAAAACTCTTTTTTTTTTTTTTTTTT